TAAGACTTTTTATCGACCTATAGTTTGGATGGCTTCTACTAGTAATTTGTACAAAATCGGTGTAAGGACGCAGGTTGGCCGTAGTAAAGACAATCTGGTCAGGTGGGGATTCTTGGATGGCTCAAACATGGAGTGCAGGTGCGGTTTTGTTCCCCAGTCGATGAAGCACATGATGTCATGTCCTGAGTGCCCGAGCAACTGCACTCAGGAGGATTTAATGAATGCTGCTGATAACGCCACTCTTGTAGCGGAGTTTTGGGCTGACACTGTGTAGGTTTGTTGTCGACACGATAAGAAGAAGAAGTAATGTGCTTTCTTTCATTTTACTACCGAATCCAAAAAGGTATATTACACCGGCAGATCGAGGATGCGTGCCATGATAAAGTTTTATCGATGATATTAAACGACAAAGGTATGAGTTTATCGTGTAAAATCGGTAAAAGTTTATCGTTGCGCACATCCTAGACATAAATTACAGGTTTTTTTAACTTCCTTCCCGCAAAAAGTATAAAAACAACGTAAACAGAAAGTGTTACAAGAAAACAGTGCGAACAGACAGACAACAGGGCGGATTTTTTTTGTGTATTTACTTCAAGTAGCTCTGTCAAACAAAAATGAGATAATATTTTGCAATGTATCGATACGGATACGGGATTTTTAGGGTTCCGTACTTAGGTTAATAAAACCTAGTAGATAGTAAACTCAAGATTTAAACTATAGCTATAACTATAGATCTAGCGCAAAACTGAGTCAGTTCTAGGTATAGTTCCAAAATAGTGAACTGTCCTATCGATGAAATTGACAGTGGGGCGCCACCGTCAATACCGGATCGCTGGTTCCGATTTTTGCCATGTTGGAAACCATATAGTTGAACGATGGTAGCGCCCCCTGTCATTGAGTTTGGTGGGACAGTTCAGCGTGGGTCATCTATATTTCTAGATAGTTAAATAAAATTCTTTCATAGGTAGAGCTACAGAATACAATATTTCATTTTAGGAAGTACCTAAGTAGGTATCTATTTCAAAAACAATAGTTTTTTTCATGAAACCCCACATTAAAACAAAATGTTCCTTCATCTGTCAATCACCATTAATCTCATCCATAGAGAAAAGTAAATACATAGGAAATAGAGAACCCTCTCTGTCAAATTTTTGAGCCTACTAATTGACAGCCTGGTGTTAAATTCGCTGTACTTAACCTACGTACGTAACGCTCACATACACACATAGTACACGCACACATACATACATAAAGTCCACGCACACATACACACAGTTCACGCACACATAGGCCCTCATAACCTTCAAAGAATTATTGTTTTTTTGATGTACAATGTAGAATTTTTTCAAATCCATTATTTTGAAAGTATTTATCTTTATGGTGTACGTATTGTTTTATTTTCAAAACAATGGATTTGGAAAAATTCTACATTGCACATGGAAATGCAAATAAACAAAAACTTTTCAATTTAATAATTTTACTTTATTTATGAACACACATAATATTATACACCAAAAGCGTCTTTTCGCAAAGTTTTCAACAACACTAAAAAAGCATTTGCACTTTGAGAAAACTCAGATCACTTGTTAACATAACAGAAAGTTTCTTCGCGATTCACGAAGGAACGAACAAAACTCCGATGAACCAGAACAGCAGCAGGTACGAAGGAATGAACTTGAATTTGACTCGACTCTTCAATACTTTAATAGGGCCACAGAACTCATAAACGATGGCTAAGAAAACAAGAATGCATTCAACCTAACAAAAACAACACCGGCCATTTTGGAGGAAAAACAAAGTTGCCATATGTTAAATAGTAATTTCTACTACTCTATTAAGTAAATTATAACAAAAAATGTCACCGTTCAGTTTTAAATTAAAACAAATTAATTTCATTTTAAAAAAAGTTTTCACATTGTAATTAACAATATTCTGAAATATATTTTAATTAAGAAAAAAATGAAAATATGAAGGAAACAGGAGCAGCGACATGCGTTTTAGGGTAGTTAAAAAGTATTGCTTCCTCATTGTTTGTTATAGCATTGCTGCAAAATCTGAAAAGCTTTTAAATATTTTAAGATGTGTTTCTGGAGTCTGGTGGGGTGCTCACCCAGCGTCATTAAGACTTTTATACAATGCTATTATAAGAAGTGTACTTGACTATGGCAGTTTCTATCTAGAGCCTTGTAATTTAGTTGGTTTAAGTAAATTGGATGCGATTCAATCTAAAGCGCTAAGGATTATAGCTGGTGCTATGAAATCGAGTCCAATTAATGCCTTGCAAGCTGAATGTGTTGAGCCCCCAGTGAAATTACGCCGCCAATATTTATGTGACAAGTATCTTTTCCGTATTCACGAAGGAACGAACAAAACTCCGATGAACCAGAACAGCAGCAGGTACGAAGGAATGAACTTGAATTTGACTCGACTCTTCAATACTTTAATAGGGCCACAGAACTCATAAACGATGGCTAAGAAAACAAGAATGCATTCAACCTAACAAAAACAACACCGGCCATTTTGGAGGAAAAACAAAGTTGCCATATGTTAAATAGTAATTTCTACTACTCTATTAAGTAAATTATAACAAAAAATGTCACCGTTCAGTTTTAAATTAAAACAAATTAATTTCATTTTAAAAAAAGTTTTCACATTGTAATTAACAATATTCTGAAATATATTTTAATTAAGAAAAAAATGCCGTAAGCCGTGTGGTGACGGCAGAGTAGAATACATTTGTCACCAACCCCTACTCTTCCTGCGGGTGTCGTAAGAGGCGACTTAGGGACTACACATCAAACAGAGAATGGGCAGCAGCGCTCTCTGAAAAACATCAATCTTCTAAACTGCGATCTCCAACCCGCCTGCCAAGCGTGGAGATTATGGCAAACCCCTCCACTATAGTGGAGGAGGCTCATAGTCCAGCAGTGGACTGTAAAGGGCTGTTGATGAAGATTATCCTGTTTTCGCCTCCGAGATTTATTTTACCGTGTAGTACCCCTGTACGACAAGCCAATCCGCACACAATNTTTCCGTACCCTGATCTCATCTGTCAAAGTCACGTCAAAAATTCCCGCCAAAAGAACTGTGTTCTCGTTCACACTAAATATTGCGTTACATCCACAAATTAGGCGGAACGTGCTATCGATTACTTTTAAATAACATTTAATAGCCAAAAAAACGTGTAAACGAGCCCTAAATAGATACCGTTGTAAAAACATCAAAGATACAAACTTTTTTCGATGCACGTGTGGCCAATTTGATAGTCTTGTGTTTGTGAAAAAAAGTTTGGGAAAAAGCATGGCTCCTGTTTGACGGGAGTTTTGGCGCGAATGGTTTTTGTCAGTTAGATTTTAAGCGCTGATATTTTGTTAAAATAAAAGTACTTATTTTAATAGGTAGAGCTAATCTGTAACAATAATTATGTACTAAAAATACTTTTTTAAATGCGAAACTGTGATACTTTTGTTTGATTTTCAATACCAAATGTTTTTCGAGAAGAATCGTATCATAAACCATAACTTAAATTAAACATTTAAGAATACATAAAATACACCAAAATTACCTGTGTAATGTTCACAGTTGTAATAATTACTTATTAGAAATTATTGTTGACACAAGTGTGTGTGTATTTCAATAAATAAAATACGTGAGCAACCATTCCTACCACCTGTTTAACTTTTATCCGTTTTATAATATGCATTAACTCATTAAAGAGCATAATGGTACATTATCGTTTTAATTTGTTTAAATGATTATAAATTTTTCGCGGAAAACTGTGTTTTGACCACATATTTTCATTTCATCATCATCATTTTAGTCACAGGACGTCCACTGCTGAACATAAGTCTCCCAATGATTGCCAGATTGGTCGGGTGGTATAGGCTTGCATACAGCGCCTTCTGTTACCTTTAAATGAGACTAGCGGCCGCCCGCGACTTCGTACGCGTGGATCCCGTTTTACCCCCTTCATCTATCTTACGCGGTTTAGATTTTTTCATACAAATGTTTTTTCTCGCTAACTCCCGTTCCCGTGGGAATTTTGCAATATCCTGTTGTAACTAAGCTTTACGTTTACTAAGGTACCTGCATGCCAAATTTCAAGCGTCTAACTTAAGCGGTTTAGATTTTTCATACAAAAGGATTTTCCCGCTAATTCCCGTTCCCGTGGGAATTCCTAAGTATACTATAACCTGCCCAGGAGTATGAAGAATAATTGTACCAAGTTTCGTTAAAATCCGTCAAGTAGTTTTTGTTTCTATAAGGAACATACAGACAGACAGACAGACGGACAGACAGACAGACAGACAGACAGACAAAAATTTTACTGATTGCATTTTTGGCATCAGTATCGATCACTAATCACCCCCTGATAGTTATTTTGAAAATATATTTCATGTACAGAATTGACCTCTCTACAGATTTATTATAAGTATAGAAGATAGATTGTCTGTCTACCTTGAGGACACACAAATACAAGTGTCTAATAATAATATCTCACTTGATAAGATATTGAGATATTATTTTCCTAAAAATATTTCAATGCTCCTCCTAATTTCGTTGCGAGTCCAACGACAGTTTAACTTTCCCCCGGGACTTTGACCTTTACTGGTTGCGTTATTTTCAAGCTGTAGATCCTGGCTACACAGGAGTTGCAGCGGGAACGAGAGGTGGGAATAGTCTCTCACAGTCCGCGTCAAATTTTAATAGTTCGTGACACCCAAAGTAGCCAAAAAGTCTGCAACGTCTTTGTTACAATTGGATTAAGGTTGTCAACTTTTTCACCACGTTGGGTGTCAATTATTTGACGTTGACTGTGCGAGTCTATTCCCACCTCTCGTTCCCGCTGCAACTCCTGTGTAGCCAGGATCTACAGCTTGACCGCCAATAACCCAACCAGTGAAGGTCAAGTTTGTCCCGGGGGAAAGTTAAGCTGTCATTGGACGCTGCCTGTAGATGCAATAGTTGGTGGTTATTTTAAAGTATTTCATTTGTTCCAGAACGCGACAGCTGAGAAGAGAGGGAAGGGCCGCACTGGGTGGCCGCAGCATGTTTGGGCTCTAGAACTTAAGAGCGAACAGAACTTGCAAACATAGAATGACAACTGGGGCATTTTACTAGAATATTGTTAATGTTACGTTGGTCCTTCGAGCCGGATAACGATATTAGAGAGACGGGAGTAACACCCGTATTCACAAACGATGCCTGCTTAAGTGAAGCAGCAAATCGAACGCACAGCGTTTAATAGAGCTCTGATTAATTCGTGTGTCACCGTGTGCGTCCACGCGCACTGTGATACCTCATAGTAATGTTTGTGAATACGGGCGTAAGACTCATGGATAAGGGTTAAAGAGTCATTTCAATATAGACCAATCATAAAGGACATGTCTTGTAACGTGTTATATTAAATAAGTAGCAAATTTTAAAATAATTTATTGTTAAAAAATAATTTAAGCCACAATAAATTAGCTTTATTTTACGTCAAAAACTGTCATTCGCATGATCGAACGAATCACAATTACCTATATTTACACACAATTACCACGTCGTTATATTGAAGGAGATCCCTTAAATATCCCTAGCGATTATGTGGATAAGATCGTCAAAAATGTAAATAAATTGTCTCTATTCAAGTATTTTAAGTTTCATTGTAAGGATAATTAATTATGTAAAATATAAATCTTAAAAGTAAAATCACACAATAATAGTGTAAATAAATGTAATTTTAATTCGGTATCCATATTATTACAATTTGCATAGTATTATACTTATTTATAGCATTATTATAATAAACTACCAAAGACTATTAGTATTTAGTACCTATATTGTTTTTTAGCTTTAAGTAGGTATTAATGAATAAAGTGAAGTCATTTAGTTCTGAAGTTTTTTTAAATAATTCCTAAATCAAGAATTTGCCACACTGTCTGCGTTCAGCGGTCAAGCCAAAGTGAACGCAGCCCGCATCATGTAACTACTTACATCATTTAATACAATAAAAAACTCATAAAACTAATTTATTTTTGCAAATAGGCTTTTAAAAAGCACTTTTACACGTCCCAGTATTAACCCTACCACTGCTTCGGGACAATAAATGGGCCAGTGCTGAGAAGAAGCAGCGCAAGAAACTGTCACTATTGTCAATCTGTCAGCGGTCGTGACAAGGCAATCTGTCAGTGATATAGTTCCAAAATACTGGACTGTCCTATCGATGACATTGACAGTGGGGCGCCACCGTCAATACCGGATCGCTGGTTTCGATTTTTGCCATGTTGGAAACCATTATAGTTGAACGATGGTAGCGCCCCCCTGTCATTGAGTTTGGTGGGACAGTTCAGCGTGGGTCATCTATAAACCTAAAGTAGTGTGATCTAATTAAAAATGAGGAGATTCTATCCGTAAGAATACAAAGTGACTGACATAGCCCGCAGAATCGCTAAAATCAAGTGGCAGTGGGCGGGGCACATAGCTCGTAGAGCTGATGGCCGTTGGGGTAGAAAATTTCTAGTTTAGGCCTAATTAGACGTAGGCCGGAAGACATAGTGTAGGCCGGTTTCTCACTAGGTTGACCGACGATCTGGTGAAGGTCGCGGGAGGAACCTGGATGCGGGCAGTGCAGTACCGATTGTTATGGAAATCTTTGGGAGGCCTTTGTCCAGCAGTGGACGTCGTTTGGCTGAATCGAACGACCGATATTCACAAGGGCGAAGTCGCGTGCCAAAGCTGGTTTTTAATAAACTGGCAATTGATTGGTCTGTTACTTCAAAGGTGAGTGTGTGTTTGGACGATAAAACGAATTAGGTGGGATGCTGTGTTCTGTGCGTAGGGTGACCATGCCGATAAAAATGTCGAGGGACTTTCCTACAAGAGTAAAACTTAAAATAACTAAAAAAATAACTAGACAATAGGTAACATGAGAAAAAGTAAAGAGAGTGTGGAGAAAAAAGTCTGATTAGCTATTACAAATGAACTTATTATTTTCGTGCTGCAAGATTCTGCTTTTTTCTACGTAACATGGTACGATAAGTTTTTAATTGTAGCTTTAAAAAATTTACATTCTGGCTTGTGAATGAAAAAAGAAACAAATTTTAAATTAAAACGTGAAACTTCGAGTTAAAGATAATTTAAAATAATTCATGGCAAACATTTAGCAATTGTTTAGAGTAGCGTCGCAAAAATCTCATTTGACATAATAAATCGTCACGATTTGTGTCTCCTTTTGAGTGTCTGGTTTATTTTCTTTATTTAGGAAACATACAGCTTAGATTAATACAATTTATTTATTTATTTATGGTACACAAAACAAGTTACAGTCATATTTAGGCACAGATAAAAATCCATAGATTATCTAAACCGCAACTCTTAATTTGTGTGCACAGAATGAATTGAAAATTATGAAATAAAGAGGGTAAGTGGTGTTAGTTAAACTTACTCATTATATTCATATTTTTATTTTAATAAAATCAAATTGTTACATTCTTGCTAAACATCAAAAGCGTGGTCACCCCACACAGCGCGCGCCGAAAACCACATGGCCCGACGGAAACGAGCGGTAACTGGGATACACAACCTGTACAGAAATAGCCGAGATTTATGTACTTCGGCTATCAGAGCTTCGAAGAAACAGCAAGGCGTACTGGGAAGAAAGAAAAAAATTATTTAATTTAAATCAAGATTATCTTATTTGTGTAGGTAGACCTTTGAGAAATAAATTAGTACTTACAAATCGTAAAATGCTCTTAAGGAGCCTATACATGTCTCATTCTTTTTTTGTCCTACCAGCGCTTCAAGACAAACATTTGGCATGTGCTGAGAAGAAGCGCCGGAATAAACTAAGTCACCACTTTAAAAGAAAATAAATAAGAAATGAAAATCTGAAAAATAAAAATAGCTACTCAAACATGGAGTAGATTTTCGCCCGTATTCACAAGCGATACTTGCTTAAGTGAAGCAGCAAATCGAACGCGCAGCGTTGAATAAAGCTCTGTGATTGGTTCGTGTATCCCAGTGCGTCCACGCGCACTGTGAGACCTCATAGTAATGTTTCTGAATACCGGCGTTTGTCTGTGATCTGGATGTGTGGTGTGTGATGTGGATCTTTTCATCTTAAATAAAGGTCTATTACACTTTATTCACCTAGATTTTATCACCCAGGTGATCAAAGTAAACTTCATTAGGTCTAAGATGCGCGCCGTGATAACTTTTATCGGGCAAAATCGATAAAGGCTCGCATTATAGGCCTACAGGCGACACTTTGGTGTCCTTTAATCACCCATGGATAAGAAGGCCACTTTGGTTGATAGCCTAGCTAGTCGAACTTATCATGAATAAGGTTATCAAAGGATACCAGTGTCCACCAGAGTCGTGGCCTTCCTCACCGGGGGCCACGGCATATTATGCTGAGTGGGGTCCCATTGTGATGGGCATCGCTGTGCGACAGGGTGGCACTGCTCAGTTTACTTTCTCTTCCTTTGTATGTTTTATGTCACCGCTATCTTAACTATTTGCTTTTTTTATTTAGTTCTTTTGTCTTTCTTCTTTCTTCTTTCTTTCTTTCTATCGTTTTTTAGTCCACTTTGATCACCTGGGTGATCAAATCCAGGTGATCAAAGTGACTAGACTATCAGTCGGTCGGTAGTCAAAAAAAGTTAAAACAAATATGATAAAACATAACGTAAGAACCCATATTTGACCTTGAATATTTTTGCACATGTCGGATCGATGGGTTTAGGTACTTATCGAATTTTATTATTAATTTATTGTTCCATACATTCTTTCCAATTTTCAGCTGTATGAGAAATTATCATAAGCATGTCTAATTTGATTGGGTTATTTGAAAAAGTTCATTCACTTAAGCTGAATTTCACCATCTAACTTTAACCGTAACTATAACGATAACCAGTGTTTTTGTATGGAGTTTGACAGATTTTTGACGTTTGTTAAAGTTAAAGTAAGATGGTGTAACCCAGCCTTAGAATGAGTTGCACCATCTAACTTTAACCGTAACTATAACGACAACCGGTGTTTTTGTATGGAGTTTGACAGATTTTTGACGTTTTTCAAAGTTAAACTAAGATGGTGCAACCCAGCCTTACTATTGTGGTCACATTACTGAATTATTGAAAAAACGTGAGCGAAGATTGTTATTGTAAAATACTTAAAATTTTAACAGTTCAGTTATTCCTAAAGTGTCTGGCCCCTGGCGGTCAAATGACCCCCGACAGGGATCTAAGTTAGTGTGATGAAAAGGGAGCTTACAAGTTTTAAATGGGGGTACAAAAATGTATCTGAGGGCTTAGACTAGTTGCATACCACCGATTTTTAGTTGGCCGATAGTTGGGCCCGATTTTAATTTGTACGAAGAATCGGCCAAGTCAAATCGGTGTAATGTGCGCACTCCCATACATGCCCATTCTGATCAACTGCCCGACTAAACTATCGGCCGACGAAAAATCGATCGTCTGCGCCTAGGCACGCCTAGGCTTAGTGTGAGTTTACATCAAATGCCCTCACAAAATTACATTAGATGTATGACGGATTATACAGCACCCCTAGCGGAAACGTTCAAGAATTAAAATTTTCAAACATTTTTTTAACGCGCTCATTAGTGAAGACCATTCATTGTGGAAAACCTCCCAGCTTTGTCCAGCAGTGGACGTCATTTGGCTGAAACGAACTATTAAAAAAAGCTCTTAAAAACCGTAATCGTAACACGTAAAATAGTAAAAAAAACTCATAAAACTTATTTATTTTTGCAAATAGGCTTTTAAGCACTTTTACACGTCCCAGTATTAACCCTACCACTGCTTCGGGACAATAAATGGGCCAGTGCTGAGAAGAAGCAGCGCAAGAAACTCAGTCACTATTGTCAGCCTCCTTTTCAAGGGTTTACAGTCTTATAGTTTGGGAATCTCTGACTTTAACAATGGACCCAATATTTAACTTTTTGGACGTCACGTGTACTCAAGTATATGGAAATGTTAATTTTTTAAATATAAATTGTATGTTTGTACAGATTGCCGTCGTTATACGTATATAAATGTGTTTGGTGTATTTCGCGACCCTGTCGCCATTCTAACGTCACCATGAAAGTATTCGCCGCTCTGTGTTTGGTAAGTTATTTATTTCGTTCGTTCGTTTCAGCCGAAAGACGTCCACTGCTGGACAAAGGCCTCCCCCAAGGATTTCCACAAAGACTGGTCCTGCGCCGCTCGCATCCAGGTACCTCCCGCGACCTTCACCAGATCGTCGGTCCACCTAGTGGGAGGCCTGCCCACGCCACGTCTTCCGGCTCGTGGTCGCCACTCAAGAACTTTCCTGCCCCAGCAGTGCCGTATTATCCATAAGGCACTTTAGGCCAGTGCCTAGGGGCCCACTATGGCCAGGGGCCCACTATGACCAGAGGCCCAGCACTCCCGATAAAAAAATGAAAAAAAAATGTTAAAGATTATTTTCAACCGACTTCAAAAAAAGGAGGAGGTTCTCAATTCGACCCGTATGTTTTTTTTTTTTTTCTATGTTTGTTACGCGATAACTCCGCCAATTATGAACCGATTTGAACAAATCTTTTTTCGGCGTATAGGTAATACCTCAAGGGTGGTCCCATTTAAATTTAATAATAAAAAAAACAACCCCCAAGGGTGGAAAATTGGGGATGAACTTTTTTATACGCAATATCTCCGCCGATTATAAACCAATTAGAACGATTACTTTTTTGTTGAATAGGTATTATCAAAAGGGTAGTTTCATGCGAATTTGAAGAAAATATTTCACCCCCAAGGGTGGAAAATTGGGGATGAACTTTTTTATAATATACATTAAGAATATGGTCTCAATGTACTGCCTACCTTCAGTGGTAACATCAAGGTAATATTAGTCAACTAAAAAGCAAGAAATAAGTTAAATTTTATTAAAAAAAATAAAACCGACTCCAAAAAACCTACACTAAAAAGCAGAATAATAATTACTAATTACCTACTTATTTATTAGGACGAATTATTAATATTTATGTAGGTATACCATGATTGATACTTTTGGAGTCGGTGCAGGCAAACTTTACATGTTTCATAATCTTGGCACCGACTCCAGAAGTATCATTCATGATATATTGTGCAACAAAACTCAAACCACCTCAAAACTTCGCCTTATTTTGGTTTACACATTCAATCGTCATATTTTGATATTGTGGAACCTAATTCATTTTCGTGACGTTGGCATTACTGCTTTGGTTTACATGACAGGTCGACGGTCGACGCCCTTCAGAGGCTAAAAAGCCTCACTGCGGAGGCTAGGGAGAGGGCTGAGGGTGTGTTGGCTGTATCATTCATTCGATATAGCCAACGCATTCAATACCATCCTTCATTCCAACATACTCTAGGCACTTCAACATCACAGAGTGCCTCAGTACAGCTGCATGGCGCCCCACTCTGGGTGGACGCACTCAACAAGAGGGAAAATGCTGCCCTTCTGCGCAGACCCCAGCGGGCCATAGCGCAGAGGGTCGCAAGGACCTACCGCACGGAAGGGCACTCTGCGGCGTGCGTCCTCGCTGGTACTCCTCCTTGGGAGCTAGAAGCTGGGGTCTTGTCTGTCATCTATCACTGGATGGCAGACCAGTAGGCGCGTGGAAAGCGCCCGGAGCGGTGCGGCGCCGTCACAAAGACATGACTCGCGCGCAGTTTAGCCGCCGCACTCTGGATGCCATTGGTCCTGTTCTGGACCAATGGTTGGAACGACCGCACGGGTTCCTCAGGTTCCGTCTGGCGCAGGTGCTGACCGGGCATGGCTTCGGTTCGTACCTGCTTAGAATCGGGCGAGAGGAATCCCCGTGTGCCACAAATCGAGGAAGAGCGAGGAATCCCCGCGGCGCGGCGGATGACACGGTGCAGCACACCCTCGCGGTCTGCACAGGCTGGGAGGAGCAGCGCCGTGTCCTCACTGTGGTCCGGGATCTCTCGCTTCCGAGCCTGGTCATCGCCATGCTGGGAAGTGAAGGATGCTGGAAGGCGATCGCCTCCATATTTTGCGAAGAGGTCATCCTTCAGAAGGAGGCAGTGGAGCGCGAGCGGGAGAACGATCCTCTCGTCTCATCGCTCCACAGGCGGAGAAGGGGGCGGAGAAGGCGGTTGTACGACCGTTCTACTCTGCCCCCAGGTGGCGGCCAGCAGGCCGGGGGTGCGGGGGCGCCCTTGTCACCTTCGTCTGACGGGAACGGCTTGGCGTTTTGGGCATTTCCGTCGGAACCCCACAAGTGGGGCGTGTAGGGTCCGCCGTGTAGGCGAGCTGTCGCTGTAGCGTGGTGTCGCGGAAGTCTAAGGCTACGGCCGGATACTCGCGACACCCCCACTCGGCCTACGACGGAACGCCGCGGAGGTTTTAGTGGGCATACCCCGTCCTTTTCCCTTTTTAGGGCGCCGGGAGTCCCACATACCACCCTGTCGCCCGGCAGTCTCCCGGCAACTCCAGAGACCCCCAGTCATTCGCTTCGGAGGTGCGTCGATCCGTTCAGTGAACGTCGCAACCGTGCTCGGCGTGGCAATCGACAGCAGTCTCCTGTTCTCGATGCATGCGCAAGGGATCGTAGATCGCGCGGCCAAATGCTTCGGGAAGATGTCGCGTGTGTCGGCGTCTTCCTGGGGCATTCGTTACCCAGGCCTTCGCATTTTGTACCAGGGCACTTTTGTTGCAACCCTTGCGTATGCAGCGGCATGCTGGTACGAGCGCCTCTCGGTGCTGTCCATGCGCACCACTATTCTCCGGGGGCAGCGGCCTGCACTGGTGCTCCTGACCAAAGCTTATCGATCGGTCAGCACAGCCGCGCTCCCGGTGCTTGCTGGCGTATTACCCGCGGACTTGGAGGTTTCCCGCGCTGGCATGACGGACGTGGCCCGCAGGGACACGCCCAGGGACGCGATGGGCAGACGGAAACGAGAAATTTTGGAGTCGGTGCTGGATACTTGGCAGACCAGATGGGAGGGGGAGACGAAGGGTCGCGAACTCTTCCAATTCTTCCCCGACGTGGCTGGGAGACTCGGCATGCGCTGGGTCGTACCAAATTATGTTACTTCACAGATACTTACGGGGCATGGGTGCTTTAACAAGCGCCTGTGCGATATGCGTCTCCGGACTGCCGCGGAATGCGAATGTGGGGAACGTGAAGAGGACAGGCACCACGTTCTGTGGTCCTGCCCTTTGTACGAAGACTTACGCCAAGCTCTGCTTCAGGGAATCGTACCCGAGAGACCCGGACCTGCCTGGTACTCCGATCTCGTCTCTTCGGAGGCGAACTTCGCCCGGCTACGCGAATTTGCGTACGGCTGGCATAGGAGGAGGACCGCTAGCGCTGCACGGCACCAGATGGTGCCAGCCGTGCCGTGAATGTCAGGCCCCAGAAGGGGGAGAACTGAATTATAGGGACAAGGACGTAGAAAAATAACTTGTAGGGAGTCAAGAAGTGTGGCGCGGTGGAGTGCAATCTGCCGTAGGCAGCCGCAATTCCGCGCACACCTCCCGCGATTCGGCCAGTATAACCGCAAGGTTGGTATGGCCATGGGTAGTGGTGGGTTGTTCCCCGGCAGTGGTGACGGTGCGCAAAGCATTTCCTCCGCGACAAAAAAAAGGGGGGCCCGAAACGAGCTGTGCCTAGGGGCCCCGAGATGGTTAATCCGGCCCTGTGCCCCAGCGGCCATCAGCTCTTCGAGCTATGTGTCACTTGATTTTAGCGATTCTGCGGGCTATGTCAGTCACTCTGGTTCTCCTACGGATCTCCTCATTTCTGATTCGAGGGAAAATCAGGGGATCACGCAGGGAAAATCCGAGCATCCATCGCTCTTTATTTATTGAATAAAATTAATCTAAAGATTGGATATGAATAAACACGGGCTAGTTTTTTGGCCCGTAGTTAATAGTTGTCGCAGCCGATGGGGCAGCAAGGTTCTGGCGTGAAGGCCACGTACAGGAAAATGTATCCAAGGACATCCACAAGGTGGATCGACGATCTCTGCGAAGACCCTGCATGCAGGCCACTACCAAACGGGCGTTTCCTATCTACTGATTAAAAAAAACTGGCCCTAACCATCTGTCGGTTAATTTATCAAAAAATACTCGACACGTATCTTTTACTTTTCCAAAATAATGAACATTGAAAGAGATAAAGCGCGTCAAAGTTCAAAAGAAGAGGCCCGTTACGTCAATGTGTGCTTAAAAGCGTGGCACTTTGTGACGTCACGCGGAACTTCAACGCATCATACGTTTGATTGACAAAAAAATATATACGTGTCCAATATTTTTTTATAACAGACCAAAAGTTATTTCAGGAAACTAGCTTAATGTTATTTATATGTTATTTTTCATTTCATGTTTCTATTTTTTCAGGCCTTCGTTGCCGTTCAGGCCTTCCCCCGACCAGGTAGGAATAAAAAAATAACGCATTATTCATCATCATCATCATCATTTCAGCCATTGATAGGGCGTCCACTGCTGGACAAAGGCCTCCCTCAAGGATTTCCACACAAAGACTGGTCCTGTGCCGCCCGCATCCAGGCACCTCCCGCGAACTTCACCAGATCGTCGGTCAACTTAGTGGGAGGACCTTCCGGCTCGTGTTCATCATTCGTGAAATTTCCTGCCCCAGCGGCCATCAGCTCTGCGAGCTATGTGCCCCGCCCACTGCCACTTGATTTTAGCGATTCTGCGGGCTATGTTAGTCACTTTAGTTCTCCTGCGGATCTCCTCATTTCTGATTCGATCACGCTAGGAAAATCCGAGCATAGCACGCTCCATCGCCCTTTGGGTGACCTTGAGCCTTCTTATGAGGCCCATTTATGAGGCGGTTAATCTTGAAGTACTTATTTAATAACTATTTAAAGTTTAAATGCATTTTTGGTTTCAGATTCGGAACACTTCACCTACGATAATAACAATGGACAAGTGTCCGGCGAACGTAAGTTACAACTTTTTGATACATTTATCTATTTTAAAACTTTTTAACCGACGTCAAAAAGGAGGATATTAATTCGGTTGGTATGTTTTTTTAATCATACCTTTGCCATGTGCCTTTATTTTCTGATAAACAATAAATAATATTGTAAAGTCACATGAAATCTAGTAGTTCTTGCTTGTGAGTACCTAAGAAACATAACATCCATTGCGCGAAGGAGCAATGCCATCCCGGCGGAGGTAACCGGCGACGTGACGTCACGCGCTAAACGGTCAAGTGCGAGTTGATTTTAAAAAAATCCTACTTTGAATACCCATAGAAAATTCCGTTTTTGAGATATCGAAAAAATTATTTCACTAATATCTACTATATAAAAATAAGTCGGGTTTTCCTCCCTGACGCTATAACTCCAGAACGCACGAGCCGATTTCCACGGTTTTGCATTCGTTGGAAAGGTCTCGGGCTCCGTGAGGTTTATAGCAAAGAAAATTCGGGAAAAGGGGGTAAAACGGGATCCACGCGTACGAAGTCGCGGGCGGCCGCTAGTTTTTTATATTTTATGTTTGATCTTTTTACATTATAATATAATTACTCATCTTCCTCATTGGCATTACTGAATACGACTGCATCGCAAAGAAAAAACCTTCTTCTTGTCGTGTCGACAACGAACCTACACAGCGTCAGCCCAAAACTCCGCCACAAGAGTGGCGTTGTCAGTCTGTAGCCTTCACTAAATCTTCTTGCGTGCAGTTATTTGGGCACGCAGGGCACCCCTACTGACCTAGCTTTCATTTACTAAATAAAATGCGTAGTTTTTCCAGTGACACAACGTAGTTGACTAATAATTATTTCTTCCTTACAGATTCGACTGACGTCGATGGTGTCACCAAAACTGAAGGGCTTCCTCAAAACGCCCCCGTTATAGATCCAGCACCTGTTGCTGTTCCCCTTGATGACGTTAACGATGGCGATGATGATGATGTGACAACTGTCACAAGGACAGGCAGCTTCCAACAATCCAGCTCATCATCAAGCACTAGCACAGATGCTGATGGTAACCAAATCGTGTCAGGCACATCTGATTCCCTATCTGGCGAGGTTAACGGACAGTCTGTCAACGACCACGGAAAAGTATCAGGAAACCAAGTGGTTAACGTGAACAAATGCAACTCTTCTCTTGATGGCGTTAACGGTGTTAATACAGTTAAGAACTACAATTTGAGCGGGACAGATGCTAGTGCGGTCGACGCTGATGGAGTGACAGACCACCAAGTCCATGTTGACATTGACAGGGATGTGTAAGCGGTGACAGATTGGAAAATGATTGCAGTATGAAATGTACAAATTCAGGTTCTTTGTTGCTTAGTATAGACCATTTTTGTAATAGCTGTAAAGATCATCATTTCGGGACAAGTTTAGAAGAGGTGAAAGAAATTCAGACACCTTTTTAGAGAACTAGAAAACATCCTCCCAATTTATAATGGAAATAAAAAAGTGCGCGCCAAAAATCTGACGTTTGTCATCTGTCATATTTTGTAACCTGACATTGAACAGCCGCTTAATGGCCAATGGTCATAGATCAGTTTTTTTTTATTTTATTTACATTCAGATATTTGTCTTAAAATTACATTTTTGGTAGCTAAGTAATTGAGTAACTGATTATTTTTTATACATGCAAATGTTCAAAATGACCTGGTATTTGTTATTATAATTTTACATTATCATAATTTTGTATTATTTTTACCCTTTCTACAAATCGATCGAGCTAACTGCGTACCCGCTGGAATGTGATTCTCTCTTCGCCCCGTCCATACCAGAGCGTCGATGTGACGTCAAGGCAGCCAGGTACCTACGCAGTTAACTCGACCGGGTTGTAGACTGTTTGATCACTTGTGTAAAATAATAGAGATCCTGCAGCTCCTGGTGTATTAGTATTAGCTCCTGCCCTAGACAAGTTACAAAACGTGACAGCTTTAATTTCGAAATCGCTTCACGGAGATAAGTATTGGAGTATTTCGAACTGTGTGCTTTATGAGTTTACGTTACGAGTGCTCGCTAGCGACTGCGTAAAAAATGACATGATTGTACAGCGTCCCTAGCGGCTACTTTCAATAACTAAAATCTTCATAGATTTTTTGACGTACTCGCTAGCGAGCGAGCACACCTAATGTTAACTCATGGTAAGCACAGTAGGTTTCAAGTTCTAGGCCTCCCACTAGGTGGACCGACGATCTGGTGAAGGTCGCGGGAGGTGTCTGGATGCGCAGGACCATTTGCCTTAGGTAAATAAAATTGCTAAACATAGTCCTCCCCCAATGCTTTTCATGTTGCCCGGTTGGTAGCGGTCGTCCAATTTATGGACGTCCTATGGCTGAGATGATGAAATAAAATTAGAGAGAGTCGTGTAAGTCGTGTTCCTGCAGTGGAGACTAAATGACCTGATGATGTGATGATACATGAACAGTCTCCAATGAAAACAAGCAGACGAAATTAAGAGGGTATAAAAACACTTGCTTTAGAAAAAGATCCTAATAATTTTATTATTTCACTTGAAAATGACAGGAAAAACTCGATAACATTCGGCTGTCTATTTGTCATTTATTCAACAAAAAGAGTTCGAAACTCGATCGAGTTAACTGCGCACTTGGTAGCTGTGACGTCACATCGACGCTCTGAGGCGAACACGGGAAGGTGTGCGGGTGAGTGCGAGGGAGAGTCGCATTCAGCTAAAGCCTGGTCCGTGAGCACGTAGAATCCCGTCCAATGACCCCAAGCTACCCATCCCTATCGCTCGCGCGTAATTATGTTGCTGTCGCGACTGTGCGACGGGCGCCCGCAATGAGTGTGCGAGCGCGACAGCAACATAATTACTCGCGAGCGATAGGGATGGGTAGCTTGGGGTCATTGGACGGGATTCTACGTGCTCACGGACCAGGCTTTAGGCGCAGTTAGCTCGATGGGGTTGCACGTGTCAATTATTGTGCTCATGCTAACAGTTGTCTCTACTAGGAATCGAAACCGCTACCCCATTTCATCGTACTCGACGAAAACTGCCCTAATTGCAAAACAGCTACTTTTCAGGAGATACATTTTTGTGTTTGTAAAAGTTATCGTGATAATGACAGTTAGCTCGAACGAGCTATGTGTATAAAAAATCAGCCTTAATAAATTAATTTTCTTTATTTTTAACAAATAAAAATCAGTCTAGCTAGTGATGACCGTTTGACTTTCTTGCCTCTCAGACTTGGACTCCTCAGACTTGCTTTCCTTTTTAAAAACCTTAACAGTGCTTCCATTTGCGTTCTTCGTTACTGAAGCGGACTCAGCGTTGAGGTTATGCGCTTTAGATTCGCTCTCTTTAGACACGTAGCCATTGGCTGTCTTTGCATAAGCGCTGGCAGCAGCTGCAGCATTTGCTTCTGCTACTGAAGAAGCCTCAGTCTTTATCATGTCATTAGTTTTGGTCAGTTTCGATGCTGACTGAGTTTTAGAATCATTTGAATTGGAAGATGTAGTTTTATACCCTGTCACATTGTCAGCAACTATCTCAGCGTCAGCAGTAGCAGACGCGGTGGCTTTGGCAGAAGTCGCAGCAGTCTGTTCTCCGTTGGCATCAGCGTATGATATAGAAGTGCCAGTACCAGCAGTGGCTCCGCTAGACGATGAGCTACCAATTTTGGTGGTATCACCGTTTTGGACGATACTCCTTCCGCTACCAGAATTTGAAGATTTAGACATGTCAAGCGACTTTGAAATCCTTGTAAAATCGCCTCCAGATTGGTTATTATTCGAAGCATCTCCGCTAGATCCCGTACCAGTGTTGCCTGCTCCAGTACCGGCATTTCCTCCATTATCTCCAGAGTTGCCACTTCCATTATCTGCGTGGCCTCCGCCATCGCTTGGATTATTCGAGCCAGTATTGCCAGTGCCAGAACCTGAGTCTCCTCCATCATTACCGGTGTTGCCAGCGCCAGTGCCTGGATTCTCCCCGCCATTACCAGTGCTGCCAGATCCAGTTCCTGAATTGCTTCCATCATTGCCAGAATTATTAGCTCCAGTGTTGCCAGAACCAGTGTTACCAGTTCCTGCATTACCATTACCAGGATTGCTCGATCCATTAGGGTTTACAGTAGCAGGCTCCTCAATTTCTTCGGTTGTAGTCGTTTGAATTATCTTCTTAGTAGTTTTGGCTTTATGCTGCTTAGTTTGGTTTGCAGTCTTTCTATTGACTGTCGTAACTTGCAGTTGATTATTATTTACATTATTGTTTTGAGTGTTTTGGTTATTATTATTCTGCTCAGATCTCTGATGGTTCGCTTCTTTCTTCACCTCGTGGTGTTGTTTTCCCTTGCAGCCTCCTTTTGCTTTATGTTCCTCTTTTTCAACTTTACCATGGCATCCTTTTTTCTTACCATGACCTACTCTGCCATGCCCTGCCTTTCTCCTGCCCTTGCACCCCTTTCTTCTAGCCCCATGATGACCTTTCCCTCCTCTATGTCCATGTCCTCTATGTTTCCCATTAACTTCAGAACCAGAACCCTGGTTATTCGAAGACTGAGTGCTGGTGGTGGAAGTGGTTTCCTCCTCCTCGTCGTAGTAGTCGTCTTCTTCATCTTCTTCAACTTCTTCTGTAGTGGTGGTGGTGATGATTTTCTTCACCGCGGGTTGAGCACCAGTTGTTGTTGCTACAGCTGTAGCTGTTTGAGGTTCTGGAATTAAATTCAAAGTAGCTCTAAATGTTCAGGGTTTGATTGCAGATGTAAAATAACTTTTGGAGTGAATATTGCAAATATACGCTGACTTATTTCTATTTGGTGTCCATGGATTGTATTTTTGTTTGTAAACTACTATTTTAAGTAAAGATTGAAATATAAAAGAAGCTTCGAAATTACAGCTGTCACATTTTGCCTCTAGAAAAAGGGGCTGTTATTTTCGCATGATTTTAGTATCGAAGGATGGATGTATAGACGTCAGCAGCATATTTTAAGGCTGGGTTGCGCCATCTTACTTTTAACAAACGTCAGAAATCTGTCAAACTCCATACAAAACACTTCGATTAACGTTATATTTAGTTACTGACACTGTTAATATTAGGTGGTGCAACTCAACCTAAGTATTAAATGCATGGTAATAATTGTTATTTTGCTATAAAAATACAGTCAGTTAAGCTTTTACCCACGGCTTCGTTCGCGGAACTTTGGACCCCTTTTTTTTGGAAAATCATTCCTTAGCTGATGTCTGCGTGCCGTTCAGTGGATCTTAGAGCTGTGTTGAAAATCTGTCAGTAACTAAGTAAATAATTGATTTTTAGTACAGATGAACTCTGGACTGTAGTTACCTGCGCGGGGCGCCGCCCTCACCGCCACTAGGGCCTGAAAGAAGAAAGAAAAGTTACATAAGCTTAATGATTTTTGACTATTATTGTTCAGATAGTGATCTACCTGACTGTGCAACAGAAACTTTTGCCCGCGGTTCACAATTTCGGTCTGTCGCAGAAAGATTAAACTTTATTGTGTGCGTATCCTTTTTACGTAAACTAGGATGAACTGCTGACTAGGTATTTGGATGAATTAGATTCTTGATTTCTACCTAATTATTATAATACCTAATACACATAACATAATCTTCAAGGCAAATTAGAAACTTAAATGCTCATAAGTACTTCTTATTTAATTTTCTCAAGTATCAAACTACAGCTAGACTCAAAGGGTGTACCCGAACCGAAAAATAGACTTTTAGTCGGCCGATAGTTTAGTCGGGCTGTTAATCATAAAAGTACGCACATCACCGATTTGGTATCGGCTAATTCCTCATACATTTTAAGAAAAAGGTTGTAGTCTTCGGGGACTTTAGTGCCCTAAAAGTCTGCCCTCTGTTTAAATAATGCTAAGGCGATTATGGTGATTATCACACTGCACCGCGCTCCGCCGCGGTCCGCGTGGCGACATATAACGAATCCCGCGCGCAAACGCGTTGTCAGTGTGTTGTGCCGCGCGTGTGGTCTATACAAACTGAGGTACTTGCATATAATGATTAAATCTGTCGTCCCGCGTACCGCGGCGGAGCGCGGTGCAGTGTGATAATCGCCTAAATGCACTCACCACCAAAAACAAAAGTACCGGCACCCTCATCGTTCCGTAGCCCGCAGCAGTTTGCGAATAACATTCCTTAACCTCTTTTATAACCTTGGTAATATTGCTCAATCTGTGCAAATATTTGTGGAAACGTCTGGTGACATCAGCTTTATTGGATCATTGGCTGAAGGTAAATGATTTGACGTCTTCATAATTATAGACGAGGGGATTGGAAGTATTTTATTTATAACTAGCGGCCGCCCGCGACTTCGTACGCTTGGATCCCGTTTTACCCCCTTAGGGGTGGAGTGGAGTTTCGTAAAATCCGTTTTTAGCATCTACGTTCTACCATGCATAATTTAAGACTCTAGCACTTGTAGTTTCTGAGATTTCGTGATGAGTTAGTCAATCAGGGACCTTACGTTTTTATAAATATAGAAAATAGATGGACCAAAAGCAGACCAGACTCTATTACTACTGACAGTTGTAGTTTTGTTTACTGGTTCATCATCATTATCACTTCAGTCACTGTACGTCCACTGCTGAACATAGGCCTCCCCCAATGATTTCCAGATTGGCCGGTTGGTAGCGGCCTGCATCCAGCGTCTTCCTGCTACCTTTATAAGTTGTCAGTCCACCTTGATGGATGTTTC